AGGAATGAGGGAAACCTGGAAAACCTCATTAATTAGGGGGGTGGTCAAATGCCAACCGGTGTCAATCTCTCACATTGACTCAAGCCAACATTCTTCCACCCTACCATACCTGCACAGAGGGTGCCAATCCTCCGTAGAAGCATAGCTAATCTACGGTATACCGGCCGCGGGATTCGAAACCCGGGCAGATCGACACATCGATTTAAGTACTGACGCCTTAAACCGTGCGGCTATCGACCGATGTAGGTATTTATTTATTTTAATATAAACTGCCAGCAGCAAATAGTTATTTACACCATAAAGGAGGTAAATTATATTTAACTGCTGCGTGGCGTATAACATTTTATTTGTTCTCACAGTTCTTTATGGTTCATGAAATAAAGAATAGGTTTTATTTTTTTGACATTTCTTAATCAATTCATTCATTAACATTATTCGAAATCTTGCAAAGTCGCAAAGTTGTTTGGATTTTGTCGTTTCTAAGGTGTTTATAAACAAAGCTAGTAGGTGTATATATCAAAATACCCCAAGCTGAGAGCATTTTTGAAACGTAAGAATGACAGCTATATACCTAAAAAGTCAAACGTTTTTACAAGAGAACAAGTCAACGATTTTCTCGTTCAGGCACCTGATAATACATATTTGCTAATGAAGGTAGTGACGGTCTTAGGCATTGCAGGAGCATGACGTTCTGATGAGTTATGCAAACTTACTTCGGATAACGTCAATTTAAAAAATTTCGATGACATTATTGTAGTTACAATTGCAGTCTAAAAATGGTATGTTACGTACGTTTATAATTACTTCTCGCCTGGGTTCGGTTGGTCATCTAGAAATTATCAAGAAACATCAAGATAAGATTGGAAATTAAAACTAAAATTTCACGCTTTTTTATGCGCTATCAAGCAGGTAGATGTTACAACCAACCAGTCGGCAAGGATATCCTTTCAATGATCCCTAATAAGATTGCACAGTTTTTTAAACTAGAACATTCTGAAACATATACAGGCCATTAATTCCGAAGAACATCGGCAACGTTACTGGCTAATATAGGAGTTGATGCAATCAAGAGACATGGTGGGTGGAAATCAGCCACAATTGCAGAAAATTATGTTGCTGACAGTTTAAGTAACAAAAGTGAAATAGCCAATAAGATTCTGTACAATAACATTTCAACTCCAGGTTCTAGTAGTACGTCGCATCATGCTGTTTCGATGGATAAGTCAGATAATATTGAGCCTCCGGTGACTGAAATGGAGCGGTCAAATCATTTTGAGAAAAATGTGACAATACAATACAATACAAGCAGAGTTATGGCGTCTGAAGTGACAGTATGTTTGTGTCATTGGTACAAAAATGAGTATTGAACAAAAGGCTAATTTTAAGTTTTTGTTTGGTAAACCTTTTACCGAAACGTTTCTACGAACCAAGTTTAGGTACTGATGATGATTCATCCCGTGGCAGAGTCCATGAGTGGTATACGCGGTTTAAAAACGGTCGTGAGGACATAAGCAACATGTTGGCCGTTCGATATCCGTGATACTGGTGAACGTGGTGTTTTAAATATGATCCAGAAACCAAGCGCCAAAGTGCCGAGAGGAAAGCGCCAGACTAGCCAAAACCTAAAAATCTGGTTTGGAGAAGTCAAATATCGTGTTTTATTTATTGTCTTTCCGATCTCAATTGAAGACCAAAGAGCTAGACAGTATGTACCAGGATCGGTCGTTTCGCAGCAACTCGGCATTGAAATATTTGAAAAACTTGTTCCCATATTTATGAAGCCAGGTTTGGTCGAACTAAACGTGGGTGGTGTAGTAATGTATACGCCCAGTTGAAGAACGCGCGCGGGGGCAAACAGCGCACAAACACAGCCGCACTGGGCGACTGGGCCATAAATTTTAGTTGTTGACTAATTGTCTAGCGGTGCAGTACAGCAAATTTGGTGTGAATCAGGTAATTTTAATATATTATAGGCACCTTCATTAATCATTCATATTATAACTGCGAATGGAAGAAATGAGAGGGATATTTTGTTTACTAATATTATTAGAACATTGCATTTTGGAGATCTTTGGAAACGGAACAAAAGGAAATACCGCCAGACAATATTGAACTAGTAGAGCCGATTGTTGATGAAACAGATTTAAAATTTCAAAATAAAGATGTTCAATGTCAGCGTCTCATTTTAAATATTTACAATTGTTTAAAAAAGGAAGAACATAAAAAATCAGATAATGAAATTATAAATAGAATTCACATATTAACTGAAGATTCAGTGTCCATAATTTTTCGTGTTACTAAACAAGGTGTTATAGATCATTGCGTAAAGAGGAAGCGAAAACAAAAAATTAAAAATATCGATGACATGACAAGAGACGTAATTCGGAGGACGATTCATAATTTATATAAAGAAAATAAAGTACCAACTTTAGAAATGGTTAAAGATAAATACCATCAATATAATAAAATTATTTGAGGACATAAATAATTAAAATATGTTGTTGGCCAAATGAACATATAATAGAAGTTTTCGACACATTATTTAGGTACTTACAAATTATTATTTTTTACCTTTAGCAGAAAACTTTTTTAGGTGCGCCTATGAAACTCATTAAATTTTATTGCTAGGCGTTTTTATACATCTTCAACTGACTTCGGAAAGACTATACGTGTATAATTATTTTAAGACAATTTTTCTTTATGAAAATTTCATGGCACGCCCCTGCTGCGGTAAATTGTTACAATAGTTCCAATAACAATATTGGCTTATTCTTTGCTTGGAATTCTATCTCAACAAATATTGTACCGAGTGTATTTTTACTTTTCTGTTTCAATTTTATAAGCCATTGTATATACAGGGTGTCTCATAATTAGTGTCAAATAATTTTCCACTTGATTATATTGCCAAAAATAAGAATATTTTTTCAAATAGATGTGGGTCGAGAAATACTTCCGAGGGAGCTAAATGGGGCCTCAAAAAATTCATTTTTTAAAATATTTTCGAAACGGGTTGAAGGAAAGTTATAAATTTTGACACCATGAATGCTCATTAAAAGTCGAAATAGATCATCATAAAATTTTTCAAAAATATCAGTCATGGGGGTTCGTGGGGTAAAATTTGCCCCATTTTACTTGTCGAAATTTTCAAATTCAGATGCCAACATATGATAGATCTTCATTTCCTTTACAAAAAAGGTACCCTTTTTTCTTTGGATAAAATGCTCCATTTGCCAGAAAAATGGATTTAAGCAATTCATCACATTACCTTTAAAGTTTGTCTTGAATGGCTAAAATGGGCACATGTACCATTAAGAATTTTGATTAATAAATAACGTGAAAAGTATTTAGAAAAGTTTATTATGGGCGTTCCAAGCAAGGGGGGGGGATTCGGGTAAAATTTGTCTCAAATGTTTTACATGTTACTATATTCAAATTTAAACAGTAAAATTAGTTAAATTTGACTGATCTGAGTATTCTATGAAAAAATGGTGATGTCGTTTTACCCTTGAAAAAAAAATCTTATTTTTGGCAATATAATCAAGTGGTAAATTATTTTGGACACTAATTATGAGACGCCCTGTATATTGATATCATAATAATGTTTGTTATTCTTATAATTAGGTACTTTATTTTTTTTTTTCAAAAATGATCGTTAGGGGCGGTGTCGTACAGTACGTTTCCAAAATATGAAGTAGGAGATACGAAATCTAATTTAAAGCAAAAGGTTTCTTATGAGCATTGGAGCGAAAATGCTTAGTAAATTTTTTTAAATAAATCCAAACTGGCTGACAAGATTCAATTAAAACTTATCTTTAGGTTACCGACTGCAAAAATCTCTGAGAATGATAGTTTTTTCCTCTTTATCTTTTTATCTATTAAAAAACTCCATGACATTTTCGAAAAATTAATGTATTTTTCTTTGAGGACAGTTAAATTAAAAGTGCTACGGGTTGCTTTCAACGTTACTGATGCACTGGTTAAACTGCAAAGAAAAATAAAAAAGTAATTTAGTATATTTTTATTTATCAGCATTTAAAGCTTAATTAACTAAATATTAATATTTTGACTTCTATTAGCTACAAGTAAGAATTGTAGTCTTACTTATGAGTCACCCTGTGTATCTAGAATACGAGGTTTGATAAAAAACTAATGGAAATTGTTAATTTTCTCAGAAAGTATTTATTTAATCTTCAATTTTTATCCTATCTCCCCCTGTGGTATTATACACTTATGCCAATGTAGTTCCAGTTTGAGAAACACTGGTATGACGCCTCCTTAGGCATCGTCTTGTTGAAAAACATTGTCTTTTAAGTATCCTTTTGAGTTTGGGAAAAAGGAAAATGTCGGAGGGGTCATGTCCGGAGAATGTGTTTTGCCAAGAACCGTGGAGAAGCAAACCGGTATGCGCGGTGCGTTGTCCTGGTGCAAAATCCACGGGTTGTCTCTTGTGTTTTTTTCTGTTTCTCCTGATTGCCTCACTCAAATTGCACAAAAACTGTCCTACGTAGTACTCATTGTTAACTGTACAACCGGGTAAGAAGGACTTTCAAATTTGAAATCATTTGTACCATAGACCTTATTTAACATTTTAAATGTTGCACTTGCACTGCACTTAATTCTGTTTTTAACACAAAATTTCAGACAAACTTTCTTTCGCCTCAAAAAAAAAATCGCTAAAAACAATGAAGTAAGTAATACTTATTCGCTCGCTAAACACAAACTAAGTGCAGCAGCTGGTTAGAAATTGACAGGTGACAGTGCTACAAATACACACAAAAAGAATCAACTCGATAGACACGCGCGTAGACAAGGTCTACACGCGCAATTTGAAAATTCCCGTTACTCTTTGATCAAACCTCGTATACCTAGTTCTTAATTACTAAATATTTGTGGATTTAAGTTGTGACTTATTTCCCTCACGTTAGTTTCAAAACGAGTTTTTGGAACAATATGTTACAGACTTATTAGCATTAGCAGTAACTTAAAAGCGGTGATATAGTATCTCCTAGAGAAATGCTCTAGCTTGCTTCCATTAAGTTATCGGAGGCCTACTGAGCTGCCATTGTAGGAACGTGTTCACAGCACAAACGTAATAAATCGATATGTCAACGTATTAAGTGGATATTAGCTGCTATTAAATCTTGATCTTACATTTACAAGACTGTGCTGATATCTCGCTTTACAAGTTACCTGTTGTTGATAGTTAAAATCAGTGAACCACAGAGAAACACGCGATTGAGGAATTTCGTATACAGAATTGAACAATACTGTACTTATATTTCTTCTTTAAAACGTCTTATGTGATAATATAATTATTTTTTTTTAAAATCACGGGTCGTTTATTTCTTCTGATATCTAGATCGAAATGCTATGATTTTAAATAATTCTCATGGTTTTGCACAAAGGACAACAATATTGTTACTGACAGCTATTCTGTTTTGCCGCTTAATCAGAAATATTATGATCAACGCGTTAACAATTTCTCTATTAAAATATTTTTTAATCAAATTTTTGAAATTGTTTCCTTACTTCTTTATTTAAATAAATTTCTAACTAATTTTTCATGTCCGTGTCAGATTCACAGGCTACCACTATTTTAGTCAATTTTGCTGATCAAAATATATAGTTTTAATTTTTAATTTGATGCAAATTTGATACTTGAAGTGCACTTTTTAATTAGGTTTATAAACCTGCTTAATGCGCAGATATTTTAATATTAATATGTATACAGGGTGGTCCGAATTTTATGCAGGAAACTTCGAGGGTAGATAGATAGGCCCCGTTTTGGAGATTCAGGGTGTTGAGGTTTTAAAAAAAAATTAATTTTTTGTTTATATCGCACACTACCTCACAGGTGGTGTAGAAAGGAGTGTAAATAATTTTGTTGATGTACTCACAAATTGCACTTACTTTTAAACATAAACAAATATTATTGTAATATTATCGTTAGAAGTGTCTGCCACAAGGGGATTGTATTGGTATGAATAACTTGAGAATGGCGAATCTTAGGGAAAAAATTAAAGTCACCTTTTTTACGTATTTTGTGCATTAAAATATAAATCAGTTACAATCACATGTAAAAAATGCAGTGGCGTAGGTTTTTTTGTAAAAAAGGGGGTGAGCCCTGTCCAGTTGTACACCACTGGTTGAACCTTTAAAGCTCATATTTCAGAGAATATAAGGCCTACTATCATACATTATATGTACAAAATTTTATTGAGATCGGTTAATAGATTCCGGAGATATAAACAAAAAATCTATTTTTTTGACAACTTCAACACCCTGTATCTCTAAAACGGTGCCGTTCCAGACGTTTATAAGGCAAACACATATTATTTTAAAGAGATCTATCTGCCCTCGAAGTTTCCTGCATAAAATTCGGACCACCCTGTATAAAAATTTTACGTACATTTTAATAATATTTCTACTACAAGTTTAAAAATTCATTGATTGTGAACATTTTCTGCTATACGCACAAAATTTAGAGAAAGTGTATCAAAATTGAACCTATTATTTATGAAATAGATTTTGTTATATGGTTGTTATGGCTAACAACTACTAAAATGTGATAGTTATAGCAATTCTTTTGAATAATAAATTTATAACTAAGAGATGAAATGGTTGAGAATAATGATGATAATGGTAATCAAGAATAGGGTCATTCCATGTCAATTGTCCTAAGGCTCCCAGTCAACCATATGCAATCTTCATTTTGCATACCTCTTGGTCCTAAACTAAACTGGGTAAAATATTAGACTCTAATATGCTTTTGTTCACAAGTTATAGGCTTTGGTCTACAGGGCCATCTTGTAATTATCACTCGCAAAATTCCTCAATTTTAATTGCTTGTCTTTTTAGCTTGGATCAATGATATTTAGCTGACAAGGACAACTTTTTGTGCCAGTCTGCGCAAGCGGACTTGCCTACCTTTCGAGTCAGTTCTGAAATAATGACCATACTTTAAGGGCGCCGTATTCTTTAAATAGTGTTTTCCACAAAGACAAATAATTTCAAACATTTAATAACTGAATAATCTAAAGCTTATCAAATAATATTAATGTTATGTCATGCCATCTGAGTATTTTTAAAGACGTCGCAGTAAAACGAATAAACAGGTACAAAAAACGATCAAACCATCAAGGTTTTAGGTAGGTACTGAAATCTACGAAAATACTTTTTTATATATAACTCCACATGTAAATATTCTTATAACATTTGCTTAGTCCTACATATAAAATTGTTTATTTTTACTTATAAGTACGTGAAAATAATTTTTAAAATGTGGGGTTAGGATAACAGCAAACGCATGTTTTACAAATGCTTTTGTTGGGTTATTATTTTATTTGAATAAATTTAAATAGTAGCAATGAATAAACAGAACATCAAGGATTTTATTTTTGTGCTTACTTCTGTTCTAGACGTTTTACTTTTCAAGATTTCAGTACCTAAAAACGCCAGAAATTTGACTATTTCTCGACCAGGGATATGGCCACCTTAAGCATAAACAACTTAAGATGCTGCAATTTAAATCAGGCAATAATTTTTCCAAGAGTAGTCTACATTAGTGTCTCTATGTGTGCTTAGATTCAAAAATTTAGGAGTTATGCTTCTGAAGAGGATGGCAAAAATGCCAAAAAAATTTGTATGCAAATTTTACCCTATCTTCAGCAGTAAAAATCGGAATGTGGTTCATCTTTAATTTTTTCTCTTTTGTTTCATTTGACAGGCTGTTGTTTCTTCTACCAAATTTATTGTTGTCATTTTGGGCTCGGGCCTTCTAGATAGAGAAGTAGATCATGTTTTCAAGGTTAATCCTAATACGCAATGTATATATTGTGAAAGGATGTGTACTTTCCCTAGATTTATATCGAGCTTGCAATGCAATAAAGTAGTAATGTTTGAGACCCTGGGAAAGACTTATTGTGCTTAGTCACTTGTGTGATCCTGGTGCTTGTAGCCAATATTCAATAAAACATATTATTATATTTATATTTTCCATTTAAAAACTTTTTTGCAGTAAATTATGATTGTTAAATTCACCTAGAAACAATATACTAATTGCATACGTTTCCTTCTCGTCAGCGACTTCATATATAAATATAGCCGAAAGGCAAGGCTGATTTAATGTATACCTCGAGCAAACTCGATTTAGCTGCGAAATGCGAAGTGAATTTTTTTCTTTAACAGAGCGATGCTCCGCTGTGGCTGTTGCAATTTAGTCAAGCTGTACCCTACCACCGAGCGTTGCGTATGTGTCGTACACCTTTTGTGAGACCGCATTCATTTGAAATAATGACAGAATCATCAGATTTCAGTTACTGAAGAAGATATTTTCAAAACAGTGTTAGCAGCTTTTGGACTTTTTTAATTTCTTAGAATGACATTCGGTTTAAGAAATACGGCTCAAACAGTTCAAAAGATATATCAATAGAGTAGTTTCAGGATTAGATTTCGCATTTGTCTACATTGATGTCAGGTAAAAGTAATAAAGGACATATGGAACAGCTTAAGAGATAAATTAAACACTTTTTGCAATAATTCAATAATGCAATAATTAATTTGCAATATCCTTCAAAATATGAATTTGTTATGTTACCACCTCTGTTTAGAAACATTAACACTAAAACCAAACCAACCTTGCGAGGAACTGCTCGTTTTACTCCTAAAACTGGCGGTCCTAGACCTTGAGCTCTTGTTGTAGTGCGGGGGTTTCGGCAGGGGCCCCAAATTCGGCATCAGCTGCCCCAGGGGTAACGCGGGAGGACGAGGTATCGCAGTGCTCTCCATATTGCACATGACCATCTTCGTCAAGTTCGGAGTCATTTGTTTATCATTATAGAACTAGATTTCTCCTTTATTTTGCGGTATCGCGCGGTATCATCTGAAAAGGAAGCACAATTAGAATTAGAATTAAAATTAAATGGAAGAGAAAACATCGTCTTTTAAACGATTAATACAACTGATCGGTATCTTTTAAGTAAAATTAATTATGATTTAAGGTTAGCCGTAAATAATTTCTATTTGTAATGTTCTCTGCACTGGAAACAATGTGCAGCAATTAGTAACTCTCGTGATAATCGGGAATAAATCACGAAAACTAAAGAGAAATTTTTTCTTTAGCTACTTCCTACTTATACTATGCCATAGGTAGTATAGTAGTTTTTCTAAAAAGATGGTTTCATACACTAATAGAAGAAATTAAGGGATAAAAAAAAATCTAAATTTTCGGCGATTTTTTCAAATGGCTGTTTCTTTGATAAAAATGGTCGTATTGGAGTAAAAAAAAAGCAATTTGAAGCTTGAAGTTTCTAATTTTTCAAGTAACACGTATCGCGCAATTTTAATTAATATCATGAAAAAAAATTTTCGAAATTTTTTTTGATATTATTTTTGGTGTACGGACTTGAAAAAAATTTTTCCAACTTAACCACCTTATGGATTAGATAGGTTGTTCATTTAGCTTCAATTTATTTTTTTTTGGTCTCGATACGACCATTTCTCGCTGAGCTATCGGACTTTGAATGAAAATGGATCATTTTCTCTTTGTTCATCGATATCTCAGAAACCAATGGTTGCACAGAAAATCGACGGTGGGTTTCAGAAACTTGAATGAATTCTCTACAAGGTCCTGGCACGGTTTTTTAGAAAAAAAAATTTTTTTTTCCTTAAAGTGACTGAAAAATCGTAAAAAATAGGACTTTTAGGGGTCTTCTAGAAAATCACGTGCCACATTGAGAATATTGGGAAAATGACTAATGTTAAGTGTGCCTTTTACAGGTCATTGTACCCCTAAAAGCCCTACAGAGTTTCAATTCGATCCATCAAGCCGTTTTTTTGTTTCATTCGATTGAATTTTTTAAAAAATTAAAGGATCACGTTTTTTTGCCTTTAAATGCTCATAATCTGTAAAAAAATGAAAAAAACATTTTTTTCCTGATTTTTTTTTACATTCTTATTGCAGAAAGCGTTTGAAATTATGAAAAAAAAAAAATAATTTTTGAAAAATTTTTTTTAACCGATTTTCTCAAATTTCGCAAAACCGCCGGCATTAGCGTTACCCAAAGCGTACCACGTGGAGGTTGCACGGTCGGATTTACGCTTCTTTTACACACGTGCGAAAAGCGTTTGAAGTTATGACAAAAAAAAAATTATTCAAATTTTTTTTTCTACTGAAAAAAAGATGGTTTGGAAAAACTGTTTGTATTAGTGTTCTGTAAATTCGGAAAACGCGTTTTATGAATTCAGAAGTATCGCAGCAATAATCTCTGAAAAGGGTGTAGATCGAGGTCAATATTCGGTTAGGGGTATAAACTTTTTTAAATTTAATTAAAATTCGATAAGCATAATCACGAAATGAAGTAGGGGAATCGTATCGAAAATGCTTGGGGATTACTGAGATAAATTTTCTGGAGCGAATCCAACGAAAAAATTTTTCAAAAAATAAAAAAAAAAAAATTTTGTCAACTTCAAACCCTTTTCGCACATGTGTAAAAGAAGCGTAAATCCGACCGTGCCACTTCCACGTGGTACGCTTTGAGTAACACTAATGCTGGCGGTTTTGCGAAATTTCTGAAAATCGGTTCTAAAAATTTTATTTTTCATATTTTCAAACGCTTTCTGCAATAAGAATGTAAGAAAAATCAGGAAAAAATGTTTTTTTCATTTTTTTTACAGATTATGAGCATTTAAAGGCAAAAAAACGTGATCCTTTAATTTTTTTAAAAATTCAATCGAATGAAACAAAAAAACGGCTTGATGGATCGAATTGAAACTCTGTAGGGCTTTTAGGGGTACAATGACCTGTAAAAGGCACACTTAACATTAGTCATTTTCCCAATATTCTCAATGCGGCACGTGATTTTCTAGAAGACCCCTAAAAGTCCTATTTTTACGATTTTTCAGTCATGTTAAGGATAAAAAAAATTTTTTTCTAAAAAACCGTGCCAGGACATTGTAGAGAATTAATTCAAAATACTATTTAATTCTTAACCTTAACACTAGGTATATTTAAATAAATTATTAATTCCGAAAAGTTAAGAAAAAGTGGCAAATAGAGAAAAACTGTTACTATTTTCTAAAATGATATACATGCTGTTAATACTAATGGGTAACAAAACTAATAATAATAAATATGTCTGTAAATAAACTAATACCAATTGGAGAATGTGACACGAATACTAGACGTAATGCAGAAACAATGTCGAATTGATATAATTCAAAAAGTTCAAAACAGAAAAGTTTACGCAAGAGCAGCAACGTTTCTAAATAATTGAATAAATCCCAAGTATCAAAAGTATTGCTACTTAATGAGGAATAACAAATGTGATGTTATTAATAATTCTAGTATGCACTGAATCATTAGAGAATACGAAACAAATTATTATACCCAGGCCACGTGCAACTAGTCAAGTCGTTTCTACTTCAAGATTTTGAGGCAATAACAAATGGATATGCCAAGAAAACAAAAAAATTATTTTGTTTACTGATAGCCGTAAGGGAATGAGAATTATTCTAACAGTTGTAGGTGGATGAAAATCCCACCAACATTATAGACACCATCTAGGGAATCTTAAAGTCAATGTATGGGTGGGAGTACTTACCAATATTCTTTAAAGCCTATCTCGATTGCGTCATAAATTTTTATTTTCTTTACAAAATAATTTCCAAGATGTTCTTCTTGACGGTCTATGGTGAAAATGTCCAAGACAAGTCGTTGCCCCGAACTTTGCCTCGTGGACTTTTGTTTCTGGGGTTTATGAAGAACTTTGTTTATTTCCAATTTTAGATGAACAACATATACGAGAAAGAACAATTTTGTGCAACTGGATTCCACAAGAAAACAAGAGGAAGTCATTAGTTTCAATAGTTCCAATACCTTTAGATAATTCGTAAAATTAATTTAGTAAGATATGACAATATCTAACTCAACCCTCACTAAAAAGATTGTTATAATTTGGGATACCAAGCCCTAAATCAAGATTTTAGAAGAAATATTGGGAAAATAAGCAGTTTATCTAAACAGCACTACTTCTTATTCGAAATTTGCTCGAAAACCCGACGGAATAGCCTTCTGAACGTTTGTAAAATTTCAACTCAGTATTATATCATTTTCGTCCGACTAATTTGTGGTAAAAGGTTTCACTTACTAATTTCTGACATCCTGTAGATATAGAGAGAAATAGATAGACCTAATTTAGGTAACCTTAGTATTCCACTTTTTTAACACCTAAAATGAAATAAGATAGTACGGAAATTATTGATTATTTCTTTGTATGTGCTAGCAACCAATGCTTTAATAATTTTGAAGAATTTGCTCTTCACATTAGTAGAGAAAATAAGGTTACTACCTTTATTAGTGCTTAAATACTTTTAACTATTGGTAGTAGGAAAGTAAGATTATGGGCTCTAGAAAAGTTTTTTATAAAAGGCACAGAAGGTAAATTAGTAGACGATTTGGAATATTTGATTAAGAATTCACCGACGCCCTATAAGTACTTCTGAAGCCTTTTTTAAATTTCGTACAAAAGCGTCAAAGTCTCGACTGAAGAAAATCTATAAAGAAAATGTTGAAAGGGATTTCGCTAAATGTAATTGAGGTAAACTTTAGAACCTACATTCAGTCTTAGGAATAGTATTTAATTTAAAATCACGCAAGTTTTAGCAACTCACAAAAACAAGAACTAGGGTGTACCCTCTTGTTTTAAAGCAATACAAAATGTGAATTAATGCTTTGATATGTTTTTAGAACAACGTTTTGCAAATTGTGTCTTAATTGTGAATAGAAACGCCGTTTTATTGGTTCTATCGTAATTCGATGCAATCGAACACATACGACACTACTCCTAAATCCAGCTTCAAATGATGTAGTTACTTGGTACAACCTCAAATATGTCAAATACTAGCATATTATTTGACTAAAATCTAAAACTGCAAATTGTACATACATGCATAAGTGCAATGTACACACGTGAAACATGAACAAAAGAGAAATACGTACTCAAATATTCCTAATCCTTTCTTCCTTATCAATTTTCATATGTCAACCGCTTGTGTGTATTTGCCATTTCTTTAGACTAGTTGCGAGTATGTGTAAACGAACCCTACTTATGCGGTCATAGCTGTAAGTCTACATTTTGCTGGCGTGCGATTTGTATAACACTGACTGATTTAGCAAGTGAAGACAGGCTTTCGAATGCATTGATGTACACCACACACATTATACGGCATTTGTTTACGTTTCACAAATATTTGGCAAGTAACTACATTATATGTATAAACTTTTATTTGTTTTTAATAATTTCTATTGGAATTGTATGCCATGCCATCAAGCTTGTGAAGCAATAGACTATGGACATGTTATTTCAGAGAACTTCTAATTAAAGTAAAACCTACTTCCCTTTTTATTAATAAATGTTAAGTAATTAAACTGTAGGATGAACTCCACTATGGTCAAATGAACAGAGTATCTGCAAATATTGTTAGATTACATGCTCTGACCATTCGGAACCCTCTAAATTTAATGAATGTCAGGTCGTCACCGCCGCCTACGGTTTTCGAGTATTTCGTGTGTAATACTCGTCAGGGCATAGTAGAACTTCCCACATAAATAAATGGAATAATTAAACATAGTTTCGTAACTAGGTACAGTGGTTATACAATAAAAAAATGTGGCGTCAATAAAGATTTAAGCCCCACTAATTTTGCTGTTAACTTGTGAGTTGACGTCTCAGATTTAACATTTTATTATTTTAATAATATTTTGGCATTTAGATGTTACTTGAATTATGTTAAAATAAAAAAAAAGCATACAGGGTGTCTGGTAA